ATAACTGTGTCTAAAAGCAACATATTAATAGAAAAAATGTTTTGCAAGATACTATCCTTTATACAAAACATATGCAAAAATATTATATTTTAATTAATATTTTAAAAACCAACAGTTCAATCTAAAATTTTGTTGATGTATGTAGATCATAAATACTAATTTTCATATTGATTTAATAGGTATAACTAGTTTATTAATTAAAAAAAATTTAATATCATTGTATATAGCCAATTGATAAAATTATTTTTTAAAGAATTATAAATATTAAATTAATTTAAACATTGACATATATAATTTATATTAATTGAATATTTAATCTAACAATTAACTTTTAAAAATATTAATGATAAAAATGAGTTCATAAGTAGATTTTTAAAAAAAATTTTGAACACTACTAAAATCTTAATCTTCAACAACATGATTCCATGTTACTGAAAGTGCTTTCTATGTTGCTGAAAGTCTTTCAACAACATAGGTTTAGTTACTAAAAGTTTTGTTGGAGAAAGCTTGGTGGGTAATACATTACCAACCAAAATCATGTTGCTAATATATCAGCAACATAAGTTATATTGCTGAAAAAAAAGTATCAACAACGTAGTTTATGTTACTGAAAACTTTCACCAAAATTCGGTGGGGAGGGGAGGTGAATTTCCTCACCTTCTTCAACAACATAAGCCACGTTGCTGAAGATAGGGTTTTAGTAACATGGCTCATGTTGCTAAAAATTGGGAGAAAAATGACCGAATTCTGGCACCGAAATCTAACATGATTTTTAGCAAGAGAAACCACGTTGCTGAAAATATGGTTTTAGCAATGTGGTTTGTGTTGGTAAAAGTTGGGGAGGGAGAGTGATTTTTCACTTTTCAGCAATATATTCTTTGTTGCTGAATAAATACTTTCACCAACATAGTCCAAGTTGGTAAAAAATATAGGTGGTTTTCGGCACCAAAATATAGGTGGAGAGAGTAGTCTACAACCTTTCAGCAACATAGCTCTTGTTGCTGATTTTCCTTCCAATAGCACCACCCACATTTTCAGCAACATACTTCTTCTTGCTAATGCTTATTCCTATGGCACCATACACTTTTACAGCAACATACCTCTTGTTGGTGATGTATCAAAATACCTAATAAAAAAAATTATGTCTTTATATGATAATATATATTACATTAATTTTATATTATCAGTATTAAATTTAATAATTTTACAGTATTTAAATA